CCACAGGTTAGAGTCAGACGTGGTCGACAGCAAGGTGGAGAAGCGCCTCCACCACCACCAGCAGGGAACCCTGCCGCACGACCACGACTACCAGACTGGTCACGGTTCGATGCACAAATCAGTCTGCGAATTTTACGAAGCTTTGACCCCAGCGTGGTCACGCGCGAGTTGCGAAAGCTACATTTACGCTGGTTCCATGCGAAAGAACCTAAGACGAGACTCATCTTAAGCAAACCAGGTCTGGACAATGTTAGACTCAACCTCATCAATGGTGTCTGCGATACATGCCGAGAATGCAGAGCTTGGGCAAACCTGGACACACTGTTATGCCCTCTACTGCAATACCTGGCAAATTTAATGATGAAGTGGAATGCGACTTGATGTTCTACAAGCAAGAACACAATATATTTCATATTATCGATCGTTGCATACGAGATGCTACTGGGATGGAAATACCGGACAAAACGATGACTACGATCCTGGATGCATATCATCAGTGTTGGATGCAGTTTGGACCAGCTAAGGTACTTTACTCGGATGGAGAAGGTGCCCTTAATAATGACACTGCGAAGGCAGTCCTCAAGGCCAAAGGCACTGGATTTTAGAATACGCGCACGTGGACAGCACGCTGCGACGATCGAGGCCAGAAATGACATCCTACGTCATCTACTCCACGTGATGGAGGCTGAACTCAATAGGTTAGACATACCTCTTGTGTTCACTAGACTTCTGCCTGAAGCCTTGCTTGCTGCCAACGCATTCACTTTCTACAACGAGGTGTCTCCATGCAATGCGCTATTTGGACGGCAACCAGCAATGCCCCCTGACCTCCCTGTTCTGGACCACGAGCAGTCGACAGAAACATCAGATCATTCTCGCGAACAGACGATACGCAGGGCATGCATTGAGGCGGCCGCGCAGGCCACGGCAGTAGCTAAGACTAATCGTGAACTACGCACTAAGACAACCATTACAGGTCAACATTATTATGACGAAGGAGGTTCGGTTGACTACCATTGCCCTACGACTACTAGAGATGACTGGGGAGTTTGGAATGGCCCATTCCCAGCTGTGAAGAATGATCCTGAACGGGGTCAGGTCATCATCCGAGTAGGCAACCGAGATGTTCAACTACAATACGGCGGCGCAAGACATTCGCTCTACATTGAAGCACACATAGCCCGAGAGATTGGCTCCGACAACACTGCACTACGCACAGCGTTGACATTCGTAGCCAGCCTTTCAGCGGGGAGACCTGCGCTGACATTTGGCTATGTGCCGACCAAGAAAGGTGCGCTTCAGATGACAGCGGCAAGTCGCCTATCTCCAAAGGTACACTTGGCTCTACATTATCTCATCAGAAACTTCTTCCGCATCGAGAATGTTGTTTCGGTCAGATTGGCCAAGAGCATTCATGAGCTACCCGCGTTTACTTATGCCGACAGTTGCACATTGGTTTATTACGGCAACGATGTGAATCCAGGATTCCACTACTACGAAGCAGAAGGTACGGCTCTGAACATACACGATTTAACTGGATCAGCACACTCACGTGTCATTCAATGCCTGAAGTCCATCAAACCTCAGGCAGGCTTCGATCAGGATATGTCAAAGTTTGAGGACTTGGCAGATGCGCCGCCACCTGAGGGAGCCGCTAGAGAGGCTTCAGAAGCCGAACCAGAACATGATGACGGACGGCGATCTACGATCTACGAAGAATCAGAAGCTGATCTTGAGTCACATGTTATGGAGGTATGGTACGCAGATTTGCGAGAGGAGAAGGAATTGCTGGAGGCAGCTCCATTAGAATAACTCTTTGCCGTACCCACACCGATGGCTCCTGACCAGAGTGCGTCGACCACTGTAGCTGGTGAAAAGCGGGGACACCTGCCGAAGTGGGGACGCACTCATGATCCTGATGCTGCAGAAACGTACTTCGCTCCCTTGTGCACCCTGGTCGTAGACGACAGCTATGGACTCGACTCTGACGAAAACGGTCCTTGCGTCGAGCTCTGCTTTACAACAGAGATGTCAAAGGTCGTGTTGTCCGAGCAGCAACAGATGTTGTTAGACGTCGACCGGGTGAGCACCATGCGAGTATACGTTGCTGCTGCTGCAAAGCGAGCTGTGGTCGCCAAGGAAGACGACCTCCTCACTAAGGCTGACATCCGCGCGATCCCGAGAAAATATCGAAGGCCCTCTTCACCGAACTCAAGACATGGTTCGACAATAAATGATTCAAAACGCAGGAGATCGCCAAAGCGTCGAACATCACGATTCCGAGATATGTATACTAATGGAAATTCGTTAAAAACGACAAGGGTGAGATGGAACGCACCATCCGACTTCGCCCGGCACTTCGGAGCTCCATGGGCCTAGAAGCTTTCGATGTAGAGACATGTTCGGGAACAGCCAGAAGGTCAAGCCAGAGGTTACTTGCCAGCACGGCAGCGCGCAATAAGCAGTGGATCGCTGCTTCCCTGGACATCAACATGGCCTTCCTCAAGGGATTTACCCATCGAGAACTCGCCGAGGCAACTTGTGAAAAGGAACGTTTGTCGCGTTGTACCTTGCCGCCTGGGTCGGCAACTGCGCTCCGTACTCTTCCGGGGATTGAGAACTGTGCTTGAAACCGGGCACATGCACTCAGGACGCCCCACGGGCTTTCTCACTTAAGCTCAGGAGAAACACCAGAGGATGCGGCCTCCGACCTACGTCTCACGACGAGGAGTTCGAGACGAGCACTAACTTGCTCACGGCCAAACATGTTGATGACATTAACATGGCTGGTACTGAGGACACCATTGACAAGCATGTCAAATGTGTTGAGGATACCTTTGGTGAGTGTAAACTCAACAAACACACATGCACGAACTGTGCTGTGAGGTACACCAAGGATGAGGACGGCAATGCCACTTTGGATCAAGATGAATACATTAAACAGTTCCGTCCTATACAACGTCCTGAATTGACTGGCGCGGACACTGACGCTCAAGCGACCAAGATGGTGGCATATATGTCCGTCAGCCTCAGAGGTGCGCTGGCAGACGCATTGATCACCCAGGGCTGGTTGATGGTCTATGTTGTATCCCTCCAGCGCGTCCAAGAACCGACCCATATTCAAGCGCGACGATTGAACGCGATCACCAGAAAGTTACAGGCCTGCCCGAAGAAGATCGTCTACCAGGCGATGAACCCCACGGGCGAGGTCGACTTACACATCGACTCAGGCTATCGACGCCTGAGTGGAGACGCCGACGACGACGCCAAAGGCTATGGCATTCGCGGGGCAAGCCTGCTACGACGTGGAAACACGTCGTTTGGCAAGGCTGTCGTTCACTCGATTGGTGCGCGCTGCAAGTCTCACCGCAGGCAAGTCCGCTCAAGCCACTCAGCAGAGACACTTGCAGCAGCCCGTAATTTGGAGGACTGTTATCCCACGATTGTGACTCTGCACGGGCTCCATGTGGGGCCACTCACACCCACTCAGTTGAAAGATATACTTGAGTTGGGTGGCCTGTGCATAAAGGTCACTCTGACCATCGATGATGAGTCTGTCTTTAAGTCCTTGTCAAGCAAAGACTTGATGAAGCCTACTGAGTGTTCCCATTCAGGACACATAAGTTGGATACGACAGATGATGGAGCGCGGAATCGTGCATAGTATTGAGTGGTGTGATACCCGCGATGTGACTGCGGATGGACACACAAAAGGGAGCATTGACAGAGAAATGCCCTTACAAGTCATGGGAGGCATACAGACCTTCAAACATGACCTGAAGAGACATGCGCCATATCGGGCTGGCCAGACATCAAGTTCTGACGCCGCCTGATGCGTATGCCCTACATTCGCGAGGCAACTCGCTGACGGGTCCAACTCCTTTGGGTCTGTTTCCTTTCCTGTCTTTGTATAGGTTAGCGGCTGAATTGTTCTCGCTTTATAGGTGGCGGACGCACGCTTCGTCCCCCTCCCCCCCCCGACTCTAAAGTGAGCTGAGGGACGTAAGGAGCGGAAACACACGTGCGCCCGCGGCCGTCTTGGATCAAGCGGCCGGCCGCCTAAATTTGACTGCGCCTCATCGCGAGGCACACTATCGCTATCGATACTAAAGGCATCCCCTTTTACTGGACATGACATCCCCTGTTGCATTGGGACTATCGTTACTACGACACAACCGAGCTGGAGCTTGGCTTCGCCTGAGGCGAAGCTGCTGGCGGGGCCTCCCAGCCCCCTTTCAAACTAGTTCTTCATCCCGAGTCGTCGTTCCGAGGCCTGGCGAGGGCCCTTGGAGGCCGAAACTAGCAAAAATCTTCGTCGTGATGTCCGCGATCCTCGAAGCTCCCCCCATTGAAGGTCGATGTCTTCCTCTGGTCCTCGAAGCTCGATCCTCGATGCCCGATCCTTCAAATTCGACCCTCGATCTTCAGTGCCCGATCCTCCAAACTCGGTCCCCGAAGACCGATCCCCGATCCTCTAATCCTCGGCGTTGGATCCTCCAGATTCGATCCTCGATCCTCGACGTTCGATCCTCGGTGCTCGATGCTCGACGTTCGAGGCGGTCCCCCCCTCACATTTCCCCTCAGTCCAGATTGCCTGAGGAACTCCCAGGGGCCAGGCTGCCCCAGGAGGGCCCGAAGCTGTAGGAGCACAGGGTTCGGTCGGACCTGCTCTCGCGCGCTCCTCCCCGAAAGGAGTGAAGCTCCAGGGCGACTGGTGGGGTCGGTGTTCGGATTTGGAACCAGTTGGGGGTTTGAGGTCCTGGCCAGCAGGTAGGGGGAGGCGAGGTTCGAAGTGCTGGGTCCGAGTAGTCTGTTTTTTTTTTCGGCCTCAGGGGGCCATTTTCGGGCCCCAGGACTGTCAAAAACGGATCGAGGGTGAAGCATTGCACCAGCCAGATGAACCCCTGGAGGGGTCGAGGGACCGATTTTGAACGGATTTTGCTTCACCCCCCCTCCTGACCGACTTTCTCGGGGAGTATCCAGCTCAGACGCCCTGGCCGCCTCCAAGCCTTGGCCGCTGCGCGTGGGAGGTCTTGAACGTTCTGAAAGCCTGGCGCGCCCTTTGCTCAGATCGTGACGCCACGGTCCAAATGCCCAGCGATGGATCAATCCGTAGCCGTTCTGTCCCAAGCAATCTCCGGCGGCGAGCGAGGGGCGGGGAGTGAGAAGGAGGAGGCCATCGCAGAAGGCGCGGCGAGGCTTCTCAGAAGCCCCCGGGCCTTCTGAGAAGTTCTCCGCGTCTTCGGGAAGGGTTTGGCCAGCTTTTCAGGAGGCCGGAGGACGTCCCGAGCCTTCTGAGAAGCCCCGCGCCTGACTTCCCCCCAGGCTCGCCACCGACTGCTGAGAAGCCTTCTGAGAAGCCCCGCGCCTGACTTTCCCCCAGGCTCGCGGCCGCCCGCAGGCTCCCCCCAGCCGAGAAACCCCGCTTGCCCGCGCGCCCCGCGGAAGAGATGGCCCGCTCAGCCCTCGCCACGGCCTGCGTGCTCGCGGCCTGCGCCTGCGCCGCCCACCAGGGCGCCCGCGCCTTCGTGCCCGCCCCGCGGAGCCCCGCCCTGCGCGGCGACGCACTTGCGGCTGCCAGCGCGCTCGCCGCTGCCACGCCCGAGGCGGCCCACGCGTTCACGTACAACGGCAAGGAGTACTTCGACGTCTTCTACGGCATCAGCCCGCTGTACTGGGCACTGTGCGCGTTCGCCATCGTCTTCTACGGCGCCGTGCTGAAGAACGCCGCGCTCAAGTACAACACGCCCTACGGCACCACCACCAACCCGGACGCCAAGCCGATCGTGACCGGCAAGTTCGTGGGCATGGAAGTGGAGACCAATCAGGAGCAGTACAACTATGGGGCCAAGGAGTACATCAGTAAGTAGACGGCCCCTCCGGGCGCCCGGTCGGGCGCCTCCTTTTCTGCGGTTGTCTGATTTGCCGTTCAAGTCGTCCGCACTCCACAGCGAAGAATGGTGACGGGTGACGGGCTATCAGCCAGCGCCCCAGCCAGCGCCTGCCCTGCGAGGTGGGCTTCAGACAATCAGGGATTTAGACACTTTGGCCCTCGTGACAACAAAGCCCAGTGGTTGATCAACGTACATGTGTTCCAGGTGCTCGACGGTTCCTGCTATCACGTTAGGGCAATGGGTTCCAACGAATATGAGACTAGACATTCCATGCCAACGTGTGCCTTTCTAGTTGGTCTGGGCATGTTTGTTTAAAGCAGTTACTCAACATCTTCACTAACCCATTGGTGTTCGGACATGCTTGTTCAGCACAATTGCTCAACACATGCGCGAGCACACCAGTTGCTGAGTTATTGTGCGCCCACTGGGTCGATTATCGGGTCGTTCAAACATACAATCAAAGACGACGAAATAAGGACCATTTTCGGTTCAGGAGGGGCTCTGGTTTTCGGGCCGCTCGTCGTATCCCCACCAGACCATCCGGAAACGATGCCCTGGCGAGTTGCCCTGATCAGGCATGCGTGGGAGAACGCAGTAGGATAAAGGCTGGGAAGCCGTCATACCCCAAGGGGGGGAGGATAGAGGAGGAACCGGAAGAAGACGAAGAGAAGGAGGAGCAGGGGGGAGGAGGGAGAAGGGATGAGGGAGGAGGGGGTAGGCGGATGAGGAAAAGGATAAGGAGGATGGCGAACAGGAATGCCAGAAGCCTCTTGGATGTTTCTCGGAGTCTCTTCGGATGTCTTTCAAGAGCTTCTTGTATGTCTGTTCGGGCTTCTTGGGGGCCTCTTGGCGGCCCTGGGGGCAAAGCGTCTTGGGTGCCACGGGGAGGCCTCTTGGGGATCTCTTGGGAGCCGCTTGGGGGGCTATTGGTGGCTTGGGGCCCACTTGCGGCACTCTGGGGAGTCTCGGGGGCCATCTTGGGGCCATCTGGGAGATGATCGAGTGGTGCTAATTGGCGCCCCCCCCCCCCCCCAGGAGGCCAAAATGGACCCCCAAATCTAGGTCAAGTCAATGATGCTCGCTTGTTCGTCGAAGCCGTCTTGGACGCTCCAACGCCTCGCGAAACCCAACAGGGCCCCAAGATGGCCCGAAGAAAGCCCCATGACGGCCCAAGATGGCTTCAAGACGCCCCCCGAGTCATTCCAAATCGTGACCTGGTCGTTCAGGGACACCGCGGCTGTAAGAAGGATGGCCCGGGGAAGCCCCCAGTTGTGCGAGGTCTCCTCTTTTCGGGTTTCTCGCCTAGGGTCCCGACAAGCGGGACCAGTGGAATTTCAGGGCACAGAGTACACTCTGGCTCAAGGCAAAAACACTAGCCGCCACTCTCGCTCTCACAGTTGGTAGCGGAGCGCGGTCGGTCGGGCGCGCCATGGGTGGTGGCAGGCGGTCTTGAGGGCCAGTCTCCGCTGCTGGCGAGGGTCCCGACCCAGCCCAGCTGCGCTCTCGCGCCAGCGTGGGGCAGGGATCCACGGCGGGTGCGATGCCCACCACAGAGGCAGCCGCCCTGGCCCCTGGCGCTGACGCTCCAGCGAGCGGTCTTGGCGCCGAGGGGGAGGCTGCTGCCGTCGCCGCCGGGCCCGCCGGGCTGGATAGGGATGCGCTGCGCCAGCTGATTGCAGGGACAGTCCACACGACTATAGGGCAGCAGCTGGCCAGGCCCAGCCGGCGCCCAGCGCGGCCAAGACAGCAGGGAATCCGTGGTCCACCCGAGACCCATGGACCCAGGACAAGATCGACTAGGACTGGAGCCGCTGGCAGCATTGGCCAGACGATTGGGAGGGTGACAGCTGGCAGAACGACGATTGGCAGCGGCAGAAATGGGGCTCCAGCTCGTGGGGCAATAGTGCCAACGGGGACTTTAGCGACCCTCCGGCATGGCCAGGCTGGCCACACTTCAGACGATGGAGCAGATCGATCCGCCGCTTGGACGAGAACACCGACGTGCCCACCTGGCGGCGCTACGAGAACTTGGCTCAAGACTGGCTCAAGCCTTGGCTCCAAGGATTCCGGGGGAATTCCTGGACCCCGTAGCAAAACCTTTTTTTTTCTCCACTCACTACCTACATCCTGTCTACCCTTGCTATCCACATCCTTTCCCACATTCTCACATCCGATATTCTCCCTCGTCTCTCGTACGGACGCTTGTGACGACTCGCTGGTGGTGGCGTCAATGGCATGGGTGCTACAACAGGCTGGCCGAGTCCCATGGGACCGGGTCTGGCATGCAGGAGCTGGTGCCTACGCATGGGCGTCCTCTGCAGCTTCACGGTCCTATGCCACGGCTGCGGCGCTCCCGACGGAGTGCAAACAGGCGAGCATACATGCGGGGATGGTGTGCGCCGGCTACCCACCCGACTACCAGGTGGTGCCAGGTTTTAGCCCTTTCTCCCTCGGATGGGGTTGGCTTGTCGGTGGTATGCTTCTGGGTGCTTTGTTTATGACAGTGATCTTCCTCAGTTGCCTGCGGTTTGGGGCGACTGGGGGCAACCCGCAGCAGCAGATCGGGAAAGGCACATTCTACTCGACCACGTCAGAGCCCACGGACGGTCAGCCCTACAAGAGTTCGCGGCCCTGGCCCAGACGTCAGAGGTGGAGATGCTATATCGCATCGTGGGCGTGCAGCCGCCTATCCAGCGGCCGCCGGCTTTCGATGCCGCGCACGGCTTGGGCCCCCCAGCCCGAGTGCAGATGTAGGTGCGTATACGTTTTTTGGTGGCACGTACACAGCCGACGGCACTTTGCAGCTATCCCGAGGGACGTGACAGGGAATATTCGACACCACAACATATGCATACCAACCAGCGTGCCGTGCACAATTGTTACGATTATGGCGCAAACCGATATATGTGCGCATTCTTGGACACAGTTTCTTGGCACTGACCGGCGCAGGTGTGTTGCACGGCATGCGTATTGGGGAGACTACGAATCCAGGGCCGCACGTCCACGAGGGTGTCTCTGTCGTCGTCTCCGGCGCCAGCGCTGCCATCGATACCGGTGTCTACAACAGCGACAACGCCACCTTCGGCACCATCGACGCTGGCACCGATTCCAAGGCCGGCGCCTACGCCAGCAAGAGCGCCAGCGCCGATGACGTCTGCGCCTACGCCGGAACCAACGCCACCCTCGGCACCATCGACGCCAGCACCGAGTCCAAGGCCGGCGCCTACGCCAACAAGAGCGCCAGCGCCAACGACGTATGCGCCTACGCCGGCACCAAAGCCACCGTCGGCAACATCGACGCCGGCACCAATTCCAAGGCCGGCGCTTACCCATGGAAGAGTGCCAGCGCCAACGACGTCTGCGTCTACGCCGGCACCAACGCCACCATCGACGCAGGAACCGACTCCAAGGCCAGCGCCTACGCCAGCACGAGCGCCAGCGCCAACGACGTCTGCGCCTACGCCGGCACCAACGCCACCGTCGGCACCATCGACGCTGGCACCAACTTCAAGGCCGGCGCCTACGCCAGCAAGAGCGCCAGCGCCGACGATTTCTGCGCCCACGCCGGCACCAACGCCACTTTCGGCACCACCGACACCGACTCCGAGGCCAGCGCTTGCGCCAGCACGAACGCCAGCACCAATGACGTATGCGCATACGCCGGCACAAACGCCACTTTCGGCACCGTCGACGCCGGCACTGACCGGCGCCTGCGCCAGCAAGAGCGCCAGCGCCATCGACGTCTGCGCCTACGCCGGCACCAGCGCCACTTCCAGCACCATCGACGCAAGCACTGACTCCAAGGCCGGCAGCAAGAGTGCCAGCGCCAACGACGTCTGCGTCTATGCCGGCACCAACGCTACCGTACCCTGAGGTCCGGTACAGCTGCTTTTTAGCCGTAAGATTTAGCAGCTACTTTATAGCTGTACAACATCGTGTTTTAGCTGTGTGATTTATGGTTTTGATGATAAGCGTTACTTGTTAATGAACCTCTGCTCGCGCGACGCCGCGCCGTCTATCCTGCCACGCAATTCGCAACGTCGACGAATAATCCGCTAGTGATAATGATGCGTGCATATGTTCTAACACATCCTGTGCGATATAAGTGTGGTGCGGGACGGTTTTGCGCCATCGTCGTCTTTACGACACTTTCTGCTTGAGTAGACAGCGGGCGCTGCGCCCTCCTCCTCCTCCTCATTCTCCTCATCTTCGTGCTCTTCCACCTCTTTCTCCTCCTCCTCCTCCTCCTCCTCCTCCTCCTCCTCCGCCTCCTATTACCTATTCCTCCTCCTCCACCTCCTCCTTTTCTTACTCCTTCTCCTTCTCCTCCTCCTCCTCCTCCTCCTCCTCCTCCTCCTCCTCCTCCTCATTCTCCTCCTCCTCCTCCTCCTCCTCCTCCTCCTCCTCCTCCTCCTCCTCCTCCCGTATCCCCCGCATCCACCCCTCCTCCTCCTCCTCCTCCTCCTCTTCCTCCTCCTCCTCCTTAGGCAAAACCACCTGTCCCAGTTTTAATTGCAATTAATTCGGGAAGTCCAATTTCAGGTTGATATATGCGTGGTAATTCATATTAATTGCGGAAGCGCTGATTCCGACGTGGCCACATGCAGATCTGCTTCGAGCACGTGCTGATGCATATGCGCGCGCACACTCGCTGGCACAGACTCTCTGCGATTTGCTTTTTCTGAGCCTTGTCGTCTGTGACCTCCTCAATCCTCCTCCTCCTCTTTTTTCCTCTCTCTTCTGCCAGATCTGTGCACCCCTGTCGCCGCAGTCGACCTTTTCGCAGCGAGTTCGCTGGTCTGTCAAGGATGAGACAGCGGAGAGGAGGATGAGGAGGATGAGGAGGATGGTCCCTGCACTTGATTATCCTTTTTCCCTCCTCTATCCTCCTCGTTCATCGTTCATCCTTTGTCCTGGGCTTCGTGCTCAGCATGGCCCGAGCCTTTTGGCTGTGCGCCCACGCGGACGGCGCTTCGCGGCCTCCGCGTAGCGGTCGCGGCTCGAGGCAGTGCCTCAGCCTGCCAGCGCCAGATTGGTTTAGAGACCATCTGGAGGGCGCCCTGGGCCTGGGCCCAGGCAGCTCCGCCAGCTTGCTGGCGGCGCTGGGCGGCGGCTGGGCCGCTCGCGGGCAATCCAACACCCGCGCCGAGGACTGCGGGTCCCAAAGTGATGGTGGAGGCCTCACCTCTCCTCGCCCAGTGCTTCTTCTGACATTGCAAGAAGAAGGAGAAGGAGGAGGAGGGAGGAGGAGGGGCAAACGGGGAAGAACAGGAGGAGGAAGAGGGGACAAGGAAATTGGTAAAGAGGTGGAGGAGGTGCAAAGCAAGGAGGAGGAGGAGGAGGCGGAGGAGGAGT